CTCAGGCTGCTTCTACTCATCGTGGAAAGTGGCAGGGAGCTGGCGGGTACAAGCAGATCCCCCGGCGAGAGGAAGCAAGAGGAGAAACACTGTTCTTAAAGCACAGGACCCCACAGATCCAGACAAGGAGCTGCTGTAATAATGCCAGTGTGCAATTATTTACTGAATGAGTGCCATGTGGGAGTGTGTTCTAAGCAGTCTACACAAGTTAAGTCATTTGGCCCCCAGAACAACCCTCTGAACTGGGTAGTGCAGTGCCTCCATCGTACAGAGGAGGAAACGGGCACAGTGAGGTGAAGTGCCTCACACAAGGGGCAGAACAGGGATTCAAACTCGCCCATGCAGCACCCACACGCACCCTCTCATACCTACTCACTCCCAGGCACTTCACTTCCTCTTTCCTGCACATACCAATCCTCATGAGTCTTTTGTGAACAGCAGCCCTGTGACCCAGATCTTCCTGGACAGCACCTAAACACGGTGCTAGCGCTCCTGGTCTCCTCAGAGTAATGTTACTCTCCCTGTGAAAGTCACACGAGGTCTGCATTGGGTTCGGCCTGTGCCAGTTTCGAGCAGAAAGGGAGGCCTCTCGTAGCTGACTCTGGCTCATCCCAAAGGAGCTTACCAGTGAGCTAATGTCAGGAAGCTGCTTACAGCAGTGAGTTAAGGAGAACACCAGGGCCGCTGCTCTCCCCACTGGAGTGGCAGCTGCTTTAAGGGGAGGCAGACCCTACTGTGTCCTGATGTAGCCCCGTGCTTGACACACAGTAAGTTCTCAACAAATATTCTGGGTAGAGTACGTGAATAAACCAACCGAAGAACAGCTTCCTTCAAAAACTGTGACCCCACTCCTGGCCGGCGCTGCTCGGCTGGGCTGCTGCTCTTAATGAAAAGGTAACATTGATAGTGCACACTGTACGTGAAAAGAAGCTCATATATGGAATTAAGAAGATAGCCTTTTTCCTAATACTGACAGATTGGAAATAAATTAATATCCAACTACAGAGTTAAATAAATGACAATATTTCTATTGAATGTGATTCTATGTAGCCATTAAAAAATAACAATTGGGGCCGAGCCAGTGGTGCACTCGGGAGAGTGCGGTGCTGGGAGCGCAGCAGCACTCCTGCCGCGGGTTCGGATCCTATATAGGGATGACTGGTGTGCTCATAGCGCTCACTGGCTGAGTGCGGTGCGGCTGGTCTCAAAAAGGACAAAAAAGAAAAAATAAATAAATAAATAACAATTGGCTCAGTTGGTTGGAGTGTGGTGTTGGTAACACCAAGGTCAAGGGTTTGGATCCTATACTGGCCAGCCACCAAAAAAAAAAAGAAGTATATTTATATCAAAAGATGTTCAGGATATGTTAAAGAAAGCAAATTATCACACAGGACGAACACTATAATCCTAGTAACTATATAAGCATAAAAGCCAAAATGTTAAATGATTATCTCTTAATTATGAGATTCTGGTGGTCTTCATTATTTTCCTTCAGCTTATCTGCATTTTGTTTTTTCCTGGTGTGTTTTAGTTTAGCTTTTATTTAAAATGTTTTTAAATGGAAGTTCATATACAGTTAAAGAGATCTCCTTGATATACACAGAATTAACATAGTTTCAACTACTTGTACTCAACTCCAAAGATCCACAGCATATTATAAAAATGTGTGGTTCTATGACTGCACAAGGTGGTAGGAAAAAGTATCTTGGTCAGTCAGTAGGGCTGATCAATTGACTAGCTTCCACATCTCAACTCAGCTTTGATGTTGCAGAATGAACTCTGTAGCTGATCTAAAGTGAATCCCAAGGGTTCAGATCCCCCTACCAGCCAGCTGCCAAAAAAAATAATAATTAATTAATTAATTAAAAAAAAATAAAGTGAGTCTCATAGATGTTCAGGAAACTGACCCCTATTGTGGTTCCAAAGCAGTGAGTTCAGGAATATACTCAGACTAGACTAAAACAGGCTGGAAGCTAGTTATACCACAGCATTATAACACCAAGGTCAAGGGTTTGGATCTCGGTTCCAGCCAGCTGAAAAAAAAGATTATCCAATGGTTCAGATCCCCATACCAGCTAGCACCTCCCCACCCCAAAAAAGCATGCTGCGGCTGATGGACAAGTAATTTGTTCATGCCTGATTCACACTCTGCAACCATACTGTGGCTTAACTCCAGGACTGATGAGGGCACTTGGCAGGCAAAGTTCTCTCCAGCACATGTCTATTAAAGGCTGCATCTAGAGAGAACCAGAGGTAACAGGTATGTTTTCAGTCACCATCCACAATTGTTCATCCTTTGGACAAGTTTTATTTAATTTGGAAATGTGGCCCATCTCTCTGCCATTATTCTGTTTGCAGTGATTTTTTTTTTTCATTCTTTAGATAAGTAAACTATTTAACTTACCCAAATGGTATCTGTGTCCGAGTCTTTCTATCAGTACCTAACACAATTCTTTGTCACTAAAACAGTTGTGCAGTTCTCTACTAAATAAACTATGGCAATATGCAGTGCTTTTCAAAAAGTGTGGTTTTGGAACCCCTGAGGCATCACAAAGTTCTCTGGAGGAGTGTATGCAGAGCACTATGTTTTAGTACACCCAAAGCTGGTATCATCATCCCCCACTCTGGAGAGCTGCCCTGGGACAATAAACCACCAAGTGCTGTCTCTGAAAGCACGTACCAACTCCTATGAAGGACTGCATGGTACGATAGTCTTTTCATTGCACCCTGTACCTCTGGCAAGATGAACTGTTCCACAGGCTTGTACCAGAGCTTGTTCACCTGCACACCACAGCTGGGAGGACTAAAGCGAGCGATGAAAAGGGCCTCCTACAAATTGGGGGGAAAAACACAAAAAAGCAAGAAAAAAAGAAAAAACCTTCATGTTATACATCACATACACAACAAGTTTTCAAACACCTCGCATTTTGTTCAGCTAAACCCACAATGGCCCCAACATGGTTACTAACATTGTTCTACTGTGGTTTTGGCATCATGTGGGTCATCTCGTGCAATCATGGTTATTAAATAAAGATTCTTAAGATAATCAAAGTTGTCATAAAGTTCTCAAATAATAAACAAAATCCACATAACCTTAAAAAACACCCTACCTTGAAATGAAAAGCTTTAAGGGAAGTGAGAGGTGTTGTTAAATTAAGTCAAAATATTGCAGCATTAAAACTCCTCCACAAAGGGTTTAGTATGAATGGAAAGAGCACAGATTTCTACAAGGAATGAAAACACTCAGGAATACCCCTTCAGAAAGAAGCTTCAGAAGAAAATACAAACACAACAAAGAAGAAAATATAAAAAAGGAGTGATTCTCATTATGTCTATTGTTTTCTTTGGGCCTTCCCATTTCTTTTAAGCAAGAACATTTCCTTAGTCTTATGCCTACAAGAGTACTTCAAAAGTTCGTGGAAAAATAGAATTAAAAGATAAATATGAATTTTCCCATGAACTTTTTGAAGACTCCTCATATTTTTTTTTACTGTAATAAATTACATATAACATAAGATTTGCCATTGTGACTATTTTTAAACATACATTCTGTGGAATTAGTCACATTCACAATGCTGTGTGACCATCACCTACCTCTATTTCCAAAACTTTTCATCATCCTAAACATAAAGCTCTGTAGCCATTAAGCAAGAACTTCCCTTTATTCCTTCCCTGTTTCTGGTACCCTCTAATCAACTTCTGCCTCTGAAATTTATCCTCTGTTTCTTTTTTCTTAATTGACCCATGATAACTGTATATATTTATGGAGTACAATGTGATGTTTGGGTACATTTATACAGTGTGCAATGATTATATCAGGTTAACTAGCATATCCATGAACTCAGACATTTGTCACTTCTTTGTGTTGGGAACATTCAAAATCCTCTCTACTCCTGAGGCCATCAGGAGTGGGAAAGCAGGAGGGGGAGGGGAGGTTAGCAAAAAATTGGTAAAGAGTCATAAAAAATAATTACATTGTATAATGATATAGTAATTATACTGATTTGAGAATCATGTATTGCACACAGGTATTGATATTTAATGCTGTACCCCTCATATATGTACAATCGATGTTTCAATTAAAAAACAAACAAAAAAACCCCCCACAAAATCCTCTCTGCTAGCTACTTCAAGTTATACAATAATTTGTTGTTGACTGTAATCTCCCTACAGAATGTTACAAAACACTAGACCTTCTATAACACTCTGTAGGGAGTGCTACAATTCTGTATCCATTGACCACCCTCTCCGAACCTCCTCCCCCTTCCCACCACTAATCTGTTGTCACCACTATTCTACACTCCTAAGAGATCAACTTTTTTAGCTTTCACACATGAGTGAGAATATGTGGTATTTCTCTTTCCATGCGTGGCTTATTCCACTTGACATAATTTTCTCTAATCTCATCCATGTTGTTGCAAATGGCAGAATTAAAAATATGGAACACATCACAAACTTGCGTGTCCCCCTTGCACAGGGGCCAAGCTAATCTCCTGTGTGTCATTGCAATTTTAGTGTATGTGCTGCCAAAGCGAGTACTAAAGTGCCCTCCTATTCTCACATACCTACTTACCATAGGGAAGCTTCTGTGAAAGCTACTAAGACCATGCGGAAGATCAAAATTAAGAATGTTTCAATGGATTATATCTGTGTCTTTCATGAACACCAGTTTTAGCAATGCAGTGAAAATATTTTTCGCATTGTGACTACCCATGAACCCATTAGTGTCTACCTTAGACTAGTCCTTCCTTGAGGACAAATATTATAACTCTTTCCTGGCTAAAAGTATGGTAACAAAATGTTAAATCAACACGATCAAAATATTGTACATCTGGGGCCGGCCCCGTGGCACACTCGGGAGAGTGCGGCACTGGGAGCGCAGCGACGCTCCTGCCGCGGGTTTGGATCCTATATGGGGATGGCCGGTGCGCTCACTGGTGCGGGCGACACCAAGCCAAGGGTTGCGATCCCCTTACCAGTCACAAAAAAAAAAAAAAAAAGCCAAAAAAAAAAAATTGTACATCTGAACCAAATTACTTGATTTAAACTCAAACATTATAGTTAAAAAAAAGACTGACAATTAAACCATTAAGTACATCAGAAAATTCAAGATTGATCCTAATTTTTAGAAAAGGATAATAGTGCAATTCACAGTATTGCTATTTCAGTCACCTATTTGAGCTTCATTTAGTATCAACGAAATCTTTTAACAGAATAATATATGAACTATTATAGTTCAGTAACATGATACAGCTCTTCTCACTGTAATCACAATGGCTGGAATCAGCATATAAACTCTGCCCAAATCTATGGCTGCCTTGAATGTGAAATACACATTCAAGGCAGAACCCAAACAGCCCACCTAAGGCCAAAATAACTAAATAAAGATTTTAGCTGCTGCCCATTGCAAGGGAGACAGAGTTTAGAATCTGTGTCTAGCCAATTTAATTGCTGTTAAAACAAAAAAAATATTCTTTGAGGAGTATAATAAGATTCAGAGTTCCTGCAATGAATTACTCACAATATCTAGGATAAAATCCAAATTTACTATAAACAGACAAGGTTTTTAAAGGTGTTATAACTACGGCCAAGGCTGTAGAGAAAAATATGCCCAAAATGAATGAAAACATAGGAAATCTTAGAGAAACAGAAACCATAAAAAAGGAATTAAAATGGAAATTAAAGAATTAAAATGTACACTACCTAAAATAAATTTAAACTAAAAAATTCATTGGACAGGCTTAAATGCAGATCTGAGATGACAGAAGAGTCAGTGAACTGGAATACAGATGAACAGAAATTATCCAAATCTGAAAAAGACAGAAAAACACTGAAAAAAATGAACACAGTCTCATGGTCTATGAGTCAATTCTAAAAGATCTAACATACATGTAATTGGAATCCCAGGTGGAATAGAGAGAATGGTGGGCTGGAAAAGGTTTTGAAGAAATAGCTAAAAATTTTCCAATTTTGGCAAAAAACACAAATTTACAGATTGGAGAAATTGTGCAAACCCTGAGCAGAACAGACACAAAGAAAAACAACACCAAGGTACAATAAAACCAAATTGTTTAAAACCAAATATAAAGAGAGAATCTTAAAAGCAGCCAGGAAAAAACAAACAGAAACTATATTATATAGATTAATACGTTGGAACAATGTGAAGGATGGCTGACTTCCTACCAGAAAACACTGCAATGCACCTTTGAAATACTGAGGGAAAAAAAAAAAAAATCAACCCAGAATTTCACATTCAGAAAATATCTCACAAAAATAGGAAAAAACAAGAAAAAAAGAATAAAGGTGAAATAAAAACATTTTCAGAAAAATGAAAATAAGCAAAACAAACAAACAAACCAGAAAGCTAAGTGAATCCATCAGCAGCAAACCTGCACTGTAAGAAATACTAAAGGTTGCTATCTGGGTTGAAGGCACACAGTAGTATCATGCAGAACACTGAATATTCAGAGAGCAATGAAGAACACCAGAAGTGGTAAATATGTGGGCAAATATAAAAGACTATTTTTTCTCTAAATTCCTTTAATATACGTTCAGCTGTTTAGAGCAAAAATTATAACAGTGTATTGTGGGATTTACAGCAGACACAGAAGTAACGTACAAGACGAGTACGGCAAAAAAGGTGAGGGATGGTAAATGGAGCTACACAGATGCAAGGTTCTTATGCTTGACATGAAGGGGTACAATAGCAACTGTAAGAAGACTGAAAAGTTCTGCATGTACACTGTAATTCTTACATCTACTATACACACAAAAAATAATTGTACAAAAAGCTGTAGCTAAAAAGACAATAGAGAAATTAAAGTGGAATTCTAAAAAATATTCGATTAATCCAAAATAAGGCAGGAAAAGAGAAAGAGAGGAATAATACATAGGTGGAACAAACAAAAAACAAACAACACAATGAAAAACTGAAATCTGACCACTTTGATAATTGTTATAAACACTTCCTGTAAAAAGTAGAGATTCTCAGAAAGGATAAAAAGAGAAAGACTCAACTATATGCTGTCCATAAGAAACACAATTTCCAGCAATAAATAAAAGAATAATATATCGTGACCAAGAGGGTTTTATCCCAAGAAGAAGAGATTGGTCTAACATCCCAAAGTCGATAAACATAATTAATCACACTAACAGAATAAAGGAGAAAAACCCTGGAAACATTCCAGGTGCCCATCAACAGGAGAATGGATAAAAACTGCATATTGTTGGAATTCTACTTAGTAATTAAAAGAATGAAAAGGAAAAATTCGCTGATCATACAACATGATGGATATGTAGCAAAAACATCACGTTGAATGAAAGAAGCCTTACACAACGGAGAACTTACTACATGCTTCCATTTACATATGAAGTCCTAGAACAGGCAAAACTAGTCTATGATAAACCAAAAAATCAGAACAGTGGTCTCCTCTGGGAGATAGGGAAGGAAACTGAATGAAAAGGAATCTGAGGAAACTTTCTAGGGTGATATGTTTTATACCTTGATAGGAGTTTGTGTTACACATGTTTATGCAGTTTAAAAAACTGAGTGCACGTCACGTTTCCCTGTTGTAAATTTAAAAAACTATAAGAAAATATTAAAGCCTAGTTAATGATATGCATGAAGTGTTTAGGGCTGAAGCATCCCAATGCCTGCAATTAACTCTGAAATACATTTAAAAAAAGATAGATTGATGAACGAATATATACATGATAAAGCAAACGCAGCAAAAGGTTAACTATGGTAGAATCTAGTTGGTGGCTATATGGGTGTTTAAAACCTAGACACAGATCTTTTCAAATACAATTCCATGCTACAGTCCTTCAGATATACCCTGTGAACAAACCAGATTTCCCCACATATCAGGAACAGAGTAAGCTCAGTAACTTCATTTAATCCTAAGAGACCCAAACTTTTTATTTCCATTATCAACTTTTGAAATTCCTTAGGCTTTAGAGAATTTTAGGTTGGGAATTTCTAATCTAGTCCAACTCCTTCTTTTCTAGATGTAACACATTCATTCACAGGTATCTCTCCCCAAACCAGCACTATACTCTATTACACTACAGTGTATTCAATCAATAAGGGAAGAGTGGCTCGCTAGTTAGCTCAGTTGGTTACAGCGCAACCTTGGAAGTTGGAAGTATCCCAGCGAGAGAGAATTAGTCTTCCAATCTATTATATGCCATAAGAAAAAGTTGATGTTTTTGGAAAAGAAAAACGAGGTGAATTATGTACAAAGTAGTACATACCTCCTGTTCTGCCTGATAAAGCTTGACAGTGATGTTCCTCTGGAAACCCACATCACTGGCATCAGAGAACACTCCCAGACTGGTAATAACAATTGGGTACAGAACTCGGAAGCTCACACTGACAACTCGGTCCTCTGAGAGCCCTGAAGTATCTTCAGAAAGACTGAATGCTTCGATTTCCTGATTCAGAACTAAAGAAGTAATGAGAACAGGGGTTTTACACAATTGAACAAATATAATCTTTTATTTTACTAATATAAGGTAGCAAAATGGGCATGACAGCAAAATCTAGGTAATTTATTGTGTAATTCTTTTACAAAAGGCAGGAAGTTGAAAAATGCTTGAGAATCATAGCTCCTCTTGGAAAATGAAAACATATTTTGAAATTTAAGAATAAAGTTTTCAGTCACATCTAAGCAAGTTATTTAATTATCAGAACTGCTTTAACAGGTTTTTGCATACACGTGTGTGCATATATACATAAACACCACAGGAGAATATTAAATTTAACTCAACTGGAAGGGTCAGATAAATAGGGATAATAAAAACGGTACTGATTGCAGACATCATCAGTAAACTTGGCCTGGCTCTGCAAATCCTACTTCCTGTTAGGCAATTTAAAATATTTGTGATACGACAGGCAATTATCACAGTATAAAAAAAGTAGCTGAAATCACTTCAAATAACATGAAAAAAACTTCCTATACAATACTGATAAAAGATAAGCATATAAAACACACAGTAAGCATTTCTGACCACCTGCTATGTGCCATTCCCCATCACATTTACATCTTTACAACTATACTGTATGTTGGTGGCATTATCTCCAGTTTACAGATTGAGAAATTGCATCCCAAAGACTGCAATTTGCTCCAAGTGACAGAAAGTGGCAGGGGCAGGAATCAAACCCAGGTTTAGCGACTCCAAAATCAGTGCTCTTTCCACTCCCCCACAGCTGTCTAACCAGTGCCAAAACCAGTCCTTTTCAAATAATTTTTCTAATTACCATAAATGAATTGGGATAGATTATATGAAACAGTTAATATGGCAAAGAGCATCAGTGCTACTTTGAGAAATAATATAAAACCTATTTTAAAAGATTATTATATCAAAGTTCCTTGTATCTTTTAGAGCTGTGGTTTTCAAACTCTGATTACACAATCCCATCAGTTAAAAAAAAAGAAAATCTGTATACATACCCATATCTTTACTTACAAAATACACACATATATATTGTGGTTAGTCTATATATTCAGTATTAATAAAGATTATGTTTTCTTATTTTTTTTTTTTAAAAAGATGACCGGTAAGGGGATCTTAACCCTTGACTTGGTGTTGT